ATAACTATTGGGACAAAAACTTTCATCTAGGAAGTCAGTAGTTTTAGAGAAGTAGAATAAAACTCCTTTTGAAATAGGTATAGACTTATTTCGTAAGCGTTGAAGTTTCCAACTGGACTCGTCATAATATTTGTTGTTGATTAATTTGTTGTTTCAGTAATACCAATTGCATTCGTTAAGAAAAAAAACAGTTGGATGGATTTCAAGCAAAATAATAATTATAACTAGTTGAATAGTTTCAGTCAAATCTAATAGGTTAGTTAATCTGTTGGCTAGGACTCTATTTTAGAATGATTTTATTTGAAGCCACTCGAGAACATTGCAAATAATGGCTATTCAAATTAAATCAGGAAGGCATTAATGATAAAATATTCAAACTCTTACCGACTACTGAAATCAGCTAACAAGACAAAAAAATCACTCACAATGCAAATTTTATTAATAGTGATTGCAGGGTTCAACCGCTAGTAAACAGTAATATTCATTCAACAGATACGGTTGAATAACAAAGTCTGAAATTAACGCATATATATATATATATATATATATAGTAGTTGCAGTAATCTGGTGAATTTACCTGTCAATGCGACACCCATGAAGTATAAGAATATTAAAGGTATTCTGACGTTTGATGTTTGTCGAACAAATTCAAGGAAGATAACATATCAACTCATTATTGGTAGAGAAACCTTTTCCTATAGCAACTCTAGGGTTAGCTCTGGTCTCAAGCAAGGGCAAAAGAGGGTCGAGCATGTGGTCAGCATTCCTATCCAGCAGAAAGTAACTTTGATTAGAAGCGATCCCCAGAATGAACAATTTAAAACATTTTAGCTCTATTCTGAGAGTTAAATTATCTTCGTTCAGCAAAACCATAACTACTAATCGTGGAAACCGATATTCTTCTCCCTATGACTGTTCCACTATCGGTAACAGGACATGTTTTCAACAGAGTGTTGTTGGACTGGATGAAGGATCCAGTAGACATTCATCTTCTGGATCTATAGACCGGCTTTCTTAAGGATCGGTCGTGCACAGATCACATTGTGACACCACGAATCATCGTTGAACAAACAATTTAATGTGACTCGTCACTATACATCAACTTCCTTGATTATGTGAAAGCATTTGACAGTGTGCATAGGAGAAAATAATTCGAATTTCTCCGACTATATAGAGTGAATAGTTGGGAAAATCGTCAATATCATCCGGAATTCATACGACGGACTACAGTGCAGAGTCGTACGTGGACGACAGCTGAAGTATTCGTTCTAAGTGAGGATCGGAGTCGAATAAGGCTGCCTAATCTCCTCCTTTTTTCTTCCTTGCAGGAGTTGGCTAGATTAGGAAGACCTTGACATCTGACGGGAAGCATGGAATACAGCGAAAAGATTGGGTGCAACTGAATGATTTGAACTTCGCAGAGGACATAGTCCTTCTATACCATACACAATAGATGAAGGAAACCAATGTGGCAGAAGTCTTTGCATCAGTAGCCCTTCAATATACACAAGGGACAAAGCAATATCAAACAATCAAGTCACATATGATGAAGAAACTATGAAAGAGGTGGAAACTTTCACTCACTCATCTGGGCAGCATAATCAATAAAAGTGGCGGATCTGATTCATAAATAAAGGTGAGTGTTGGCAAAACAAGGATAGCATTCCTACAGTTGAAGAACATATGGAACTCAAAATAATTGTCAACTAATATCAAAGTCACAATCTTCATTAAGGATGTCCAGACAGTTCTACTATACAGAGCTGAAACTTGGAAAAGTAAAAGTCTAAGTAAGAAAAGGAAAGTCCCTTGACCTTGTACCATCAGCAATAGACCACTGTGGGAGAGAATAAACCATCTTCCAAATGAAGAGGAAATTAAGGAAAGGCGTTGGAAGTGCATGGGACATACATTGTCTAAATCATCGAACTGCATCACGAAACAAGCCGAACTTGGGATTCTGAAGGGGAATAAAAAATAGGAATGCCAAAGAACACACTGTGTTGAGAGTTGGAAGTAGACATTCAAAGGATGAAAAGTAACAAGAAAAATTGGAAAGGATCGTCCAGGACAGAGTCCGATGCAGAATTCTCGTGGGGGCTTATGCTTCTCCACGACGTGTAACAGGTATGAAAAATGTAATTAAGTGAGTATTGGTGGAGAAGCCTGAAGTTTGCTATGGAGCTTCGTATATTCTAACAACAAATCTTTTACACGTAACATCATTTAAAGCATTTGAAACAGCACAGTTTATTAAATTAGTTCGTCACCCGAATCAAGCTATCAGGGATGTCATGTTTCAACTTCTCACACAATCTTCTCAGTGCATATTTTGTGGACCCAACTTTGTGAACGACCGGTTGCTGTTATCAATGGTTTTAAACTAGGGAGGCAGCGTATACAAAATCCTACTTGAACTTATCAGATAGCTAAAGACTTCTGTCTTACTAATGAAGATGCTAATTATTACCTTCGTGATGCAATCACGAGACGTTTTCACTCAATACTGCTTTTATTAGTACTTTACATTTAGTGCAAAAGTTAATTGCTGCACGGGCAGGTCCTATCTATTTATTGCTTACACTGGTGTCATGGAATCAATTATTTCTAAGAGAAAGTAGTGGTTTATTTATAATGATGTCCATTTAAAGCACACAAGTAGTGCAATTACTGCATCCCTGGCGGCCAGTTACCCATTATTGGCACACTCGATAATCCGTTCAGGAAAGCAGAGGTTAGTTGTGCCAACATTCTTTTACTAGTTAGTGAGTATGGTCCATCTGTGCTTAGGTTGAAGGTCTTCAGAGTGCTGTATGTAGGCACCGCTTCATGTACCAGTTCTTCTGATTTGTATGAAAATTCACGAAGTACATTGAAAAGCACATGAGAATCCATCTTCTTGAAGCGTAAACCAATTCCATGTGGTTTAATAGGCGCTGTGAATAATGAGCTGGCTAAAAACGGAAAAGTAATCCCAATTGAGTCGTTCACTTCGGTTACTCCCGCTGTAACTCCATTAAAAGTGAATGGAAAAACACGCAGAATTCGCGGTGATTATCGCTTAACACAAAGTACTCGTCTATTACAACAGAGTTGAGCCACTGAAGATATTCTATAGAAATTACAAGGGTCAAGGTATTTTCCTTAAACTGATCCGAAGGATGCACCTTTGCAAATTTTCATTGGTTGTACCTTTCAAGCTGTCCAGATACAAATTCCTGCCGTTCGAATTATAATAATATATGTCCCCAGATAATGTGTTACCTGAAGTACATGAGTTACAGGCAAGATCAAGTTGTTACAAATGATACCGGCTTTGCTTTATTAAGTTACTCAATTATGTTGATATGTTATGGGACACTTCGGTAATATAAACAAGGGATAGATTGTCATGTATTAGAATACTAATGTTAGTATGACTCTAATATGCAATGTGAGAGTTGATGCGCTTTGTAGTGTTTGCGCTGCGAGAATGAATGGAATTGAAGTCCAATGCAGTCAGTCGAAGATGTCAACTCGAACGCATTAGTTTGTGCTTCTCGATATAGATCTAAGACTAATCCCTTAGGTATGTTTGTCGTCTGCCTATGCTTTTGATGTTGGTTTGTGCTTCGGGTAGAAGTTTGTGCTGATGATGTCGTTCAGAAGGACGATGAAAGCTCGACGACCAAACCACCCATCTCAGAGAACAATCCAACACCAAAATCACCCACCTGAGCTACAAATCTTTTCCGCCATCTCTGCCTATGCTTCTCCACGAGGTGTAACAGGTGTAAGCAAGTAAGCAAGAGTGCAAATTTATGAGTAACAAAGCTGCACATAAACCTTTACATTGATAGATGACATCAGCTTCATATGAAGTTAAACTTAATTCTATCAAGTTAACTACAGTACAAATTAATGTATTCCGTGTTCAGATTTGTGTCTTTTCTTTATAATTATTTTGAAGATGCCACAAGTATTTGTAGTTTAACAAAGCCTTTACCAATAACACTTTCATAATATAAATATACCGAACCACACAAATCGGATGTCAGAAGTGAAGAGGTCCGAAGCTATCGATATACCGAGGAGAGCTGAGATGAAGCTTTCCAACAGTTGTAGGATGTGCATAGCAAGGAATACTCACTTGTGATCTGGTGTTGATGAGTGACCAAGCTCCTTCAGCTAGGGTGTATCCAGTAAAACTAATGAGGTCAGCATCAATGTCGAAGACTTACAGAACTACTTATTATGGGGATTTATTTACCATTACAATTTCCTTGAAATGATTGACTTTTAAGTTGTGTTTATTCACCAGGTGGCATGCATAGAACTTTGAATAGTTGTATTCAACTTTACTATCTGGGACTAATATGATCATGGTTTTGAGGCGAATTTCGATTCTTCATAAGAGCATCTGAAAACAATGGATTGTATCGAAATCGAATTTTATATGCGCCAAACAACACACTTTGATCATGTCTTTCGCCTTGAGTCCGATTACTGAGGTTATCGAAACTAAAGAAACGGAGGGCAGTAAATCCAATTGTAAACGTTTCTGTAATTCATAATCTGTACAAAACCATTGTTGGTGTGAACAACCTCGTTCTCGATTATTGGTGACAACTTGTGTGTCTCAAACTTCTAGGTCTTTTCGGATAGAGAACAGGCTATACTACCTTCTTTAGGGGTTCAGTATTGCTCTTCGTGAATTGCCACCACAGGGTTACCAAACGGAATGAAACTAGTATTCCGAAGGATGATAGTAAAAGAGTCACACACTTCGAAGTGACTTCCTATCCTTGATATGCAACACCTACTTCCTGGGTAATGATGTTGCTTCAGCAATACTAATTTCTTGGAGTAAATAACTGACCATCTGAAAACCCAGATAACAAATTACAGTTCATCTGATTGAATGTTTCGTGGTTTATTAAATCACACAAAATAAAGAATTTTCAGTTTTCATCATCATTCTTAATCATCGAAAGGAAATAAAAACAAATAGATTTCACCAGCTTATTGCAAGCCTGTTGAATATTAGTTTAAGGTCATAGAGGGTCAAGTGGTGGTAAATTTGACCGTTGTCGATGTAATTGCAGCCTAAGTTTGGTTCACTGGTTTAAAGTATATCTTGACTTTGATCTTGTTTATTGCCCCCTTATTTTATTCTGCTTTCGTATATTAATTATAACGCCTCTTACGTTCCACTTGCGTTAGCTTGTGTCTTTCACTATTTCTTTTACAGATTTGTTTTCCTCGCTCTACCACAGCAGAAAACACTGAAGATATATAGTTCTACTGAGTCGTCGTGCTAATTGCTCGCACGCATAAATTTCGTCTTAACCATGGCGTCTAGGGTTGGTCGTAGACCTGAAGGTACAGATGGTGCTGATTTTCGTCATAGAGAACGAGTTTGTACTCAGTACAGCTTGAGGTATGTTCATATGTAAATATATATGTACTTCAAAAGCCCATTATTAAAACGTCGCATCAAATTTGTTTATTTTCTCCACCTGATGTTGTGGGTGCTCATGTTTGCTCGCTTGTTACCGGAACTGTGCTTAAGACTTGGATTCCGAACAAGGCTTATGGTGGAAAAGGTAATAACAAATATATATTGTAAGTGCCTAATATAGTGGCCGTTTCCTCAAGGCGAGTTGTGGGAGTACGTTTGGTTTTTCGGTAGTATCTTCCCTACCCTATTCGGATATATTTCATTACAAAGAAGTCGAGCTGGATTAATGCGGGTTTCTCTTACTGGAACTGTCGTCTTCGGTCTTGGCACTGTTGCTGTTGGGTGCTTTACAAACGCATTCGAGCTGATGACCTATTACCAAAGTCGTGTGGCTAAGCACTATTTCTATGAATTTCCCGTTATCGTTTTGGCCTACATATTTTTCTCTTTATGTGTTCAGGTACACGGCTTCTCTGTCTATTTCGGCTACAAGTTATACTGTATCTGGTCTGTCAAAGTGCGCAAGGCGCGGTGATTGTTGTTCCCAAACTCATTTGCTTCACAGTGATCAATGGATGCAGAGAGTATTCCCTCTTTTTGCATTACTTGTGTTGGGAACCTAACTGTTTTAAAAGACCGAGTACATTTTTTAAATGAATGCATCAGTTTCCAAATGTTTGTGTACAGTTCTTCGTTAAAAAGTACTGTTAGGTTTTTGTAATTATTTTCGCTAAATTTAAACAGTTGTTATCAATTCTTCCGTATGTACATAGAACATAGCTTTAATATATATGGCATATCTACAGTCTCTTGTCAATAACCTTGTTTATTTCGCTACGACTTAGTTCACGAATGTCTGGAATGTAAAAAGTGTGTTGGTTCCCATCAGAAGTGCATTGTGTGCCGAAAGTTTTAGAACATTCAAATTCATCTTTAGCGAACGGGTTTGTAGATTACAGAGTTATTAGGTGTAGGAAGGATTTGAAAGCGACCAACTTGGTCTTGTGTGCAGTTAAGGGTATGAGGGCTAGTATCACTTCCCGGCTGCCCACACCGTGGAAGGGTATTTCTTGAGGGACCTGAAAAAGAAGTTGGATTAGTGTTGGTCTTAACGACCTGGGAGCGTGACCGCAGTGCCAAAGGGACATCTTCTTGAGGCCGGTCACACACGGCCTTTTTGTGGGGGATTTTTGGCGTGCTCCGTTCTTCAAAGGACCTTACCGCCGGAGACGGAAATCCGTGGGATAAGGCGAGGTGTGCATTTTTAGGGTCGACCTTTTCTAACCCCACCCCTCCTTGTGGGAAGGCAGCATCGCTGTCATGCTTGTTGTCTGAAGGAAACACCTTACTGCTTTCACACCTCTGTACAGTCAGCAGTACGACTTCGCCTTCGGACCTTGGGATTGCTGCTTTTAGTCTCACCGCTCTTCAACCGACCTGTCTGGCATGGTAGGACCTTGAGGAACGATTGTTTCAGCCAGCATAGCTCGATTGGATCATCACGATAGGCAAGCCCGACCACCATGTCAAGGTAGCAGCAACGATCTTCTGAATTCCTCATGTCTTTATCTTTTTCTCTTTCCAAATTTATTTCACTGTACTATACTCGTTCAATAATTTCTTCAAACCCTAATCTTTTGGATTTCTGATTATACTCCTACTACTTCTACCACTGTGGGATTTGAATCGACAACTGCATCTCTGTGCTAATGTGGTATGGCAACTCGAACTGATGTACGTACGTACGAAGTTCTACGTTGTGACTGACTGACTGACTGTAGATTACAACTGTTATAAATACATGGAAGGCCATTCTGGTCAATTAGATCACTTTACCTGATAATAAGCACTTTCATGGATTTTCAGTTTTTAGGTTGTCTAGCTTCGAAACTGCTATGTTCATGAAGTAGTCTGGTTGTAGCCATAAGTATATGTATTGTTTATAAAGATCAACATTTGTAAGCTTATTGACAATAATCCAATTCTACTGTGGTGTGTGCTACTTACGTCTACAAACATGAGTAGTAACACCAATCAAGATTGAATGCCTGGCAGCAAAAGACTAAGAAAACCCAACTAAAGAAAACAGGACGAGACTATAATTTATGGACGAACCAATCATATTTAGGATGATAGGTCTTGGATTTTGGAGCGAAATTTACCCAATCATTTGGCCAAACAGCGTCTTGGCATTTTAGGTGATGTAGGTTTATGATGCAAAACCATAAACTATGAATCATAATCTTTATTCTTCAAACTGCTTTATAACCCTCATTTAGCCGTAGTAAGTAGGTAGACACTCCACTGATAGATGCTCGTAAACTCATCCCATCTGGCTCTGAGCATAGCGAAGAGCGGAGTCAGCCTAAGCACAAGCTGTTAAGTAGTCTACGCAATGATCGCGAACAGTGTGGGGTAGCGAGAGCAAGAGAGATGGAAAAGGCAGCAAAATAGACAACTGTTCAGACTTGTTGAAGAAACCGGTATTAAGAATCCAACTGTTAGCGGAGCTATCTCGGAAAAATATGGATATATTATTCACTCATTGCAGGAGATTGAATCGATGGGCAGAACACTTTAGGGATCAGTTCAACTGGCCATCAGTCACACTTCTGCTTCCCACGTTCCCCAGTCGACCTGAATGGCAAGTTAATGTAAGTCCTCCAACTCTACGTGGTTGAAAAAGCTATAGGAAATCTGAAGCGTGGGAGAGCAGCAGGCCCTGACAGGTTTACCCCTGAAATTTTTAAGGATGGTGGTCCAGTATTAGCAGTGAGATTGACCGAGGTCTTAGGTAGAATCTGGGAACTGGACATAATTCCATCTGACTGGTTCCAATCACTGATTGTGCCAATTTATAAGAAAGGACAAAAGAATCAGGTTAATTAATATAGTGTCTTAAATATTAGCTTCAATAATACTTCGACGCCTAACCAAAACTCGTGAAGAACAGACATTGAATGACATGACTCAAATTCGTTTACAATGGCGAAGGTGCATCCACTCTTTGTGTTCTCGCAAATTCTAATCTGAATTCTTCATGTCCGTCTTTTTTCTCTTTCCAAATTTATTTCACTGAATAACATCCTCAAACCCTAATCTTTCTGATTACTGCTTACATTCTTACTACCTGTACCACTATGGGATTTGAATCGACAACCGTATCTCTGTGGTAATGTGGCATGGCAACCCGAACTAATGTACGTACGTACGAATTTCCACGTTGTGACTGAACCAAAACCAAACAGAAAGGTATTTAGGTGGGAATTTTAGTATACCGGCTCAGCGAACAGATAATGGTGACCGTCTGCTGCAATTGCGCTCAGGCAGTCGTTTATTTTTAGCTAGCACTAATTTTAAGCATAAGTGGGACATCGTCTAACATGGTGTCCCCCTGCACTAACCCAACGATGAACTCAAATGGACTCTATTGCCATCACTCATCATTGGAGAGGTTTGATGGAAGACTGTCGCTCGTTCTGGAATACATGTTTAGACTCTGATCATGCTTTAATTTGAGCACGCATTTACTTGCGCCTCACTGGACGCAGAAAGATCATAATAAGACCCATTAGAGTTGAACTGAGTGATGAGAAAGCCAAATGTAGATTCCAGGAACAACAGAAGTCATACTTAGGCAGTTCTGGAAACGAGGCTGACCCAAATGTTGTTCGGAAAGATATATGAACAGCTGGGGAAACAGCAGCGACGTCTGTTAATGATTTGAACCAAATGGTCACGAAAAACCAATGGATTTCGCTCATTCTATTGCACTGGTAGTCTCTCGTAAACTCATCCCATCAAGCTCTGAACATAATGAAGAGCGAAAGCAAATCAGATCTAGGTTAACCAAAAGTCTACGGATCGATCGTGATCAGTGGTAGACAATGAATGCAAAAGAGATGGAAAGGGCAGCGGCTTTAGGTAACACAAGACAGCTTTTCAGATTAATAAAAGAGACTGGAATTAAGAAGTCAAGTGTCAGTGAGATAATCTCGGGGAAAGATGACAGCTCAGATGTTTAGAACGGTTGGTGGAACACTTTAAGGGACAGTTCGGCTTGTCTTTAGTTACTCTACAGCTACCCACGACTTCCAAACAGTCTAAATGGAACATTGAAGTAGTCCCTCCTCGACTCTAATTGGAGTTCAGAAAGCTATAGCTAATCTGAAACGAGGAAGAGCAGCTGGCCCAGTTAGATCGGCTCCATATGTCTTTAAACATGGTGGTCCAATTTTAGCGATTAGTTTGACTAATATTTCAATTAAAATCTGCTAACTAAATGTAATCTTATCTGACTGATCGTCCCAATATATAAGAAGGGGTCAAAATCATCCTGTGATAACCATAGAAAATTTAGTTCAAGTAATATAACTTCTAAAATACTAACCTCAATTATTACCGGATGCCTAACAAGGATTCGTGAACTGCAAACACGAGAACTTCAGACTTGGTCGTGACTGCATCGATCACATATTCACCATTCGTCAGATAGTAGAACATGGGCATACATATCGGAATCCGACAATCATGGTTTTTCTTGAGTTAAAAGAAGCATTGAACTTGGTAGGTCAAGTGGTTCTATTTCATTGAAAGGTGTACCTGATAAGTACATAAACCTTGTGAAGGCTTTTTACTAGAACACTAACAGTTGAGTGAGAGCTTATGGCGAACTGTCATCTGATTTAGCAACCTCAAATGGTGTCCGGCAAGACTTTCCACTATCTCCATTTCCATTTAATTTCATCATAGACATACTGCTGGAGATAACATTCTCGTCGACTGAATTTTCAAGAATTGATCTCCTTCCTGTGGGTCCACTTACCAACTTAGAATACGCAGATGACATAGTCCTGTTTGGTGAAGACTAATAAAATGCAGTCTCTCGGTAGCACTGAGCAATAATGCCAAAATGTCTGGAATGCGTTTCTTCCTCTCTAAATGCCAGTTGTTGCTTCAGGACTGACCTGCGTCAACACCTGAACTAAGGATAGGGAGCGAAGTAGTCGAACTCGTCGACGACTTTACTTATCTGATCAATCCTAATGGGTCGGTGTCTGACGAAATCTCTACATGGATTCAGAAAGCTCATTTGGTTTTCGCCAATTTACGTAAAGCTATGGTGAAGGCGAGATATCCGTCTATCAATAAAAGGGCGACTATACTGTGTGGTAGTTCGTTCTGTTTTACTTTACGGCTGCGGAATGTGGTCATTTATAGTAGAAGATTCTCGTAAGTTACTAGTATTTGATCACAAATGTCTTAGAAATATTACTGAGATCACAAGATAAGTAATATTGAGGTCAGACTAAGGGTATTAGGGAATGATAGTAAATCAGTTGATAAGGTTGTGAATCTTCATCGACTGAGATGATTGGGTCAAGTGTTACGTATTCCTGAACACCAATTACCACGACGCTCAATGCTGACTAGTGTCGGAGATGGTTAGAGAAAAACTAAAACGTGGTAAAACGAAGTTACCAACTTTCTGCTCTGAGCTACGTTGGTGGATGCAGACTACTTGGTTGGGGTCTGTGCGGCTATCGTAGCCAATGATTGCAGACTCTGTGTGACATGATTCAGAATAGATGACAGTGGTGCAGCTGTATACACTCTTTGTCTTCCCTCAAACCGTGAGATTAAGATTGCTTTATTTCTACGAACTAATTCTTTCTCCCTGTATATATCCTCATACACAATCTTCTATATACTACTACCATTGAAGTAACTGTTTCGATGAATGCAGTGTTCATCTTGGTGTGCTTATGACGTGTGGCAACTTAGATCAATGCAAATATGTGCTTGGTCCTACGTTATAGCTGACTGACTATCGACAGAATTTGATTAACATTACAGACTGGACAAACGACGTATTATTTTATTAGGTAGTGGAGAACTCTGTTACTTTCTCAATATTCACCTACAATTTGCAAATAACTTTTATAAAACTTTTCTTTAAGTTATATTAAGTATTTACAGTCCATGGAATT